CGTCTGTCGAACTCTCTGCATTAGCAGAGAGGAACCCAGACGAAGCTTTACCGAAGGGCAAGGTTTTCGTCCGGGGAGGTAGACAGGGCGGGTCTAGGCGGGTTTAAAGGCTATATTTTTGACCGAGCCTACGTTCTCGGAGATACCCACATTAAACCGGCCTTGTGCCACATTCAATCCTCGTGGGTGGATCGATAAATAGCGAGCAAGACCGAAGAGTCGAGTCCAGAGTGACAGAGTAAAAGGTTGTAGGTAACCGGAAGAGTGAGGGGTGAGGTAACAGCGTTGTAGGAGTCACAGTGAGCGAGCACGTAGACTCAGTAAGAAGTCATACAGCGATACTTCAATACCAAAGACTGTTTGCTACTAAACCGTATTCCTGGAACTATTATCCTGCTTTACCAGTTTGTATTATTACGTTAATACATTATTTTCATATATTCATTCCTGGTGTTTGTTATTTATTGGTACCGGATTTCAACCCGGAATTCACAACAGTTTACATCGTAAAATATCTTTTTTTTCTCTGTGACAGAAAAAGAATTAATTTCAAAATTTCAATAATTTTTTACATTTACTAATTTTAAATCTGAAAAATTTAAAATTTTGCCTTTTCCATATCTTCAACACTTCGCCTGGTCGGGACATAACTGTAACCGAGGCTGGCTTTTGTATCTCCTGTTTTTTTTTATTTTCTAAACATCGAATGTCAGCCGAACAATTCCCGGAAATCCGCCCATTAATATTATCAGTATTTGCTAATAGTCCTATTCATAACATTGATTTAAATGTCCATATTTTGTAAGCCTTTTTACACGCATTCCTTTGAAATGATTCGTATTTTTTTTGTGGTTTATTTTTAAAAAAAGGAAAGAAAAAGGACAACTACAATAGAATCAGTCTTTATGTTTCGAATGAGATGGCCACAAAACACAATGGAACGATGTTGCTGGGTCAGGGCAATCGATGAGAAGATAATAGGGTAACGCGAGATTTCAGGAAGTGGGTGGAATTCGCGCCAGTTGTTTGTCCCTCCCACAATAATACTTTTCAATAACAATGGACCCGCACTCTTCTCTTTTAAACCACTATTACCGTCTATCGTTAAGGGACAGATTTCTTTTAAGATTTTTTTAATATATATATATATATATATATATATATATATATATGTGTGTGTGTGTGTGTGTGTTCACTTCGGTACAAGAAAAAAGAAAAGAAATGGACATTAGAAAGACTTACAAAAAAAAAAAAAAATAAATGGAGGAAGGAACGATAAAGGAGGAAAGAAAAAAGATTTGGTTTGTTTTGTTTTACGGCACATCAACATCTCAATGGGTTATTTAATGCCGACAAGATTTTTATAGCTGGTAATATTTTTTTTAATATACAGCTGGTAATATTTTTTTTAATATACAGCTGGTAATACTTTTTTTTAATATATAGCTGGTAATATTTTTTCAATATATAACTGGTAATATATTTTTTTAATATATAGATGGTAATACTTTTTTTCAATATATAGCTGGTAATATTTTTTTTTTAATATATAGCTGGTAATTTTTTTTTAATATATCGCTGGTAATATTTTTTTCAAAAATGTACTACTGGTAATATTGTATTGCTCATAATATTTTTTTTTCAAATATTTATTGCTGGTAATAATTTTTAACAAAGTATTTCTTTTATTAAAATCTATTTTTATACTTCCATAATGTTTTGACCCCAGTTTGGGGGTTCACTATTTACCCATAACTGGGACCCTAACATTTGCTACCACCCCGGGTCAAGGTGGACCTGGGAACACCAGCAATTAAGAAGTGGTTCCACGCTCTTCAAAACATCTTGATCAGAGGCCTTGGTAATGGAGGTAGTTTATGCTCTTCCCCAAGACTTGGATGTATTTTATCGTCATACCCAAGAAAGGAAAGAAAAAAGAAAAAAAAATCCTTTCGAAAATGTTTTAGAAAAAATAATTGTCAGAAAGAAAGGAAACGTAGTGTCGCAGCCTTCATCGAAAGAGGGGGAGAAAAAAAAACTCACGCGCGCGCCTATGTGTGAATGTGTGTGTGAGAGAGAGAGAGAGAGAGAGAGAGAGAAGGAGAGAGAGAAAGAAAGAGAAAGAAAAAGAGTGAAAGTAAGAAGAAAAAAAAGGAATGCAAGGAACCGAAAGGTTTTAGAAAAAACGGACAGGAAGAAAGGAAAAGCAGTGACAGAACCGCAGCATTAATCGAAAGAGAGAGAGAGAGAAGGAGAGAGAAAGAGAGAGAGAGAGAAGGAGAGAGAGAAGAAGAGGGAAGGAGAGAGAAAGAGAGAAAGAGAGAGAGAAAGAGAGAGACAAGGAGAGAGAGAAAGAGAGGGAGAGAGAAAGAGAGAGAGAAGGAGAAAGAGAAAGAGAGAAGGAGAGAGAGAGAAGGAGAGAGAGAGAAGGAGAGAGAGAGAGAAAGAAAGAAAGAAAGAAAGAGAGATAAAAATGAAGAAAGAAAAAAGAAAGATTGATATAACATTTGAATATTTGAAGATTATAGCTATCATGGAAGCAAGTAAGAGGAAGGGAGTTCAACCGTCGGGAAGTGCAAGAGAAAAAGCTATTGGAGTAGAAGAGACCGTTTCGACAGTAAAAGGTTGGGGTCGAGATGCAAACCAAGTAGTACGCTTAAATTCATGCATTTGGGGTACTAGTGAAAGTAGTTCTTCAGAGCAATTGCCATGAAAATATGTGATATATATATATATATATATATATATATATATATATATACGAACATTTCTGAGTGTCTGGGTGTCAATCTGAGGACAGTACAGAGGATTCGGAAAAAGTTGGGTGAGTCTAATGGTGATTACGAAGGTACGGCAGCTCGATAAACTCACTCTGATCGTTCTGATAAGAAACGAACTCCTAAACTTGTTGTTGAGACCCCCAGACTCAACACAGAAGCCTAAATTAAGAACCTTGAAGAGGTAGTGCTGTCCTCGGTCAAGACATTGGCTGCTAGAAGACCCTATGTCTGGCAACAGGACTCTGCACCATGCAAAAAAGCAAAATAACCCAGTCGTACCTGTCAGACAATTTGTTCAGCCACATCACCCCGTACATTTCGCCACCTAACTCAGACGGCACCCCCACTTGATTATTAAGTGTGGGCGTAGTTGAAAGAGAGACCAACAAAATTCCTTGTAACACCAAGATGAAGTAAACGCAAGGATTATGGCAGCATTTACCAATTTAAACACGGAGTCCGTCCAGAAGAGTTGCAGGTGATTCTGAAGTCGTCTGGAGGCCGTTATGGAAACCAATGGCGATTTTATGGAATGAATTTACCCTTTATTATTTCAAGATATTTTTGTGCAACTTTGGTAAATATATCTGATAAAATGACATGTCAGTGTAATTTTAATTTTTGTGTAATTTAGACGTCAATTTATCCATGGCACCCTGTATATAATTGTCAGCAAAAGAGACACGATTTGGAAATTAATGCCAAACCCATGATGAACAACGAAGAGAGACTTTCATTTCAAATATATTGGTTCGAAGATCCGTAAAGTGATGTCCAGAATAGAAATAATTTCAAGAACAGTCCTGGCCCCTGATCGAGAAAATGGAGGATTTGAAGAGCGTGGAGCCGCCTCTTAAGTGTTGTTCATTCCAGTTCCACTCTGACTCGGGGTTGTAGCACCTGTTAGGGTCCCAGCTATGGGCAAATAGTGAAGTCACAAAGACACTATGAAAGTAAAAAATACCAGCAACATATTTTATATAAAAAATGACCAATAATATATATTAAAATATAGTAAAATTATCAACAATACCTATTTATAATAAACTTACTAACGATGCCTATTGATAGTAAAATTACTAACGATGCCTATTTATAGCAGATTTACCAAAAGTATATTTTATTGCAAAATTATGAATAAAATAAAAATTATGAAAAATAAAGTTGCAGACCATACATTCTATAGCAGAATTTCTAACAATATATTTTATAGCAGAATTACCAGCAATACATTTCATCTGTAGTTTTTTTAAGCCCTTTAACAAGGCGGGAGTGTCACTAGCACGTAAGTGGTTACAAAGAGTGAGACAAAGATTAAAGGGGTGTTTGAAGAAAGGATATAGAGAAGGACGGGGATCAAGATCAAGGCATCAGAAGATGTCGATTGATATAACATTTGAATATTTGAAGATTATAGCAAGTACGAGGAAGGGAGTTCAACCGTCGGGAAGCGCGAGAGAAGAAGGTGTTGGGATAGAAGAGACGGCTATATTTAACTGTTTCAACAGTAAAAATGTGGGACCGAGATGCCAATCTAGTAGCATGCTTAAATTCATGCAATTGGGGTACCAGTGAAAGTAGCTCGTCAGTGTAATCGCCATGAAAATAGTTGTAGAAAAGACAAAGGGAAGTCCCTGCACGTCTCTGTGAAAGTGACTGTAGACGAGATGCCAGATCAGGACCTATCACACTGCATATGCGTCTTTGGATTTTGTCGAGGAGCAACAGCGGGGACAGCAGGCCATATATGGCAACAGTATTCGATGCAAGGACGAATGATTAATTTGTAGATTTGAAGGATGGACTCAGGCGGGAAAAATCTTCTGGCGGGATACAGAGAACTTACTCTCCTTACAGTAGATGAAGCTATTGATTCAATGTAGGTGTTCCACATCAGGTCAGTGGAAAGTGTGAGACCAAGCAGGCGCAGAGAGACGCTCTGAGGGAGTTGGAGATCAGAAAATATATTCAGATGAAGCCAGAAGATTCTGTTCAAAATATTTACATTTCAATATTAAATAATCCATAGAAGCCTTGGTATGTCACTAAAAAAAATCAACCAGCCATCAGTTTCATAAACAGCACAAGAAATAAAAGAACGTCTGTCAGAAATCAAAGATCAGACTGTTGTGTGCCCTGCTCCTCAATCTTTCCGTATGTCTTCGAATTTTGAGCATTAGCAACAGAACTGCAATGAAGAACCCAAGCCTTAGAAATGTGATGCTACAGAACCCTACTAGGTATCTCCTTCTCAGGCCACATCCCACGAGACGCCAGAAAACAAGAAACAGGTCAATTGGAAAACCTCTTAACCACCGTCATGAAAAGAAAGACGAAATTGTATGGACATGCTATAAAAACTAACAATCCTGCCATCTTACAAGGTACCATCTTACAAGGTACCATCTTAGGCAAATGAAGACGAGGCAAACAGAGGGAAAATGGGATGACAACATCACTGAGTGAACTGGAATATCCTTCATAGAGACTCAAGCAGTGGCACACAACCGAGATATTTGCAGGGAGCTAATCAGGTGCTCAACTACCCAGTGACCCTATTTCCGATTCACTTTTTAACGTCCATTCACATAACCCCCCTTTCTCTCTCTGTCTCTCTGTCTCTCTCTTTGAAGGCACACTCTTCTCTCACGCTTTCGTCCTCTTTCTCTCCCAGTCCTTCCCCTCTCGTGCATCTTCCCTTTTTCTATTTCTGCCACCCCTATTTCTGATTCTCTTTTTCACGGGCGCTCACATACCCCCTCTCTCTATTTGATTGCACAATCTTCTCTCACGCTTTCAGCCTCTTTCTCTCCCAGTTCTTCCTCTCGCTTACGTCTTCCTTTTCCCTATTTCAGCCACCCTTATTTCCGATTCTCTTTCTCACGGTCGCTCACGTACCCACTCTTTGATGAAACACTCTTCTTTCACGCTTAGATCTTCCTTTTCCCTATTTCAGCCACCCCTATTTCCGATACTCTTTCTCACAGCCGTTCATTTAGTTTCTTTTGTGATGATACATTCTTTTCTCACGCTTTCATCCTCTTTCTCTCTCATTTCCCCACACTTTTAGATCTTCCTTATTTCTGTTTCTCACGGTCGCTCACGTACACATTCTTTAATGAAACACTCTCCTTTCACGCTTTCATCCTCTTACTCTCCCTGTTCTTCCATTCGCTTACATCTTCCTTTTCCCTATTTCAGCCATCCTTATTTCCGATTTTCTTTCTCACAGTCGCTCACTTACTATTTCTCTCTTTGATTACACACTATTCTCTCACGCTTTCATCCTCTTTCTCCCAGTTTTTCCGCCTTCGTACCTCTTCCTTTTCTCTATTTCAGCCACACTTATTTCTGATACTTTTCTCACGCTGGCTCATTTAATCCCTCTCTATATTTGATTACACAGTATTCTTTCACGTTTTCAGCCTCTTTCTCTCTCAGATTTTCCACCCACTTATATTTTACTTTTCTCTATTTCAGCCACCCTTATATCCGATTCTCTTTTTTTACGCTCGGTCACTTACCCTCGCTCTCTTTGATGAAACACTCATATCTCACGCTTTCAGCCTCTTTCTCTCCCAGTTCTTCCTCTCTCTTGCATCTTCCTTTTCTGTATTTCTTTCATCCTTATTTCCGATTCGTTTTCTCACGCTCGCTCTCTCTCTCTCTCTTTAATGAAACACTCTTCTCTCACGCTTTCATCCTCTTTCTCTCTGAGTTCTTCCACCCACTCAAACCTTCCTTTTACTCTCTTTTATCTCCCCCTTTTCCCCATTCTGACTCTCCGTTCGTGAAACCAAACCTTTTTTCTCTTAATTTCATTTCCCTCTTTTTCTGATTTCCAATGGTTATAAATTTCACGTCCCCCTCTCTCTCCCTTTCTCTATTTCTCTATTACGTCGCTTATTTAATACTCTGTCTTTCTCACTTCTCTCTTACTCTCGTTCCTGCCTCTTTTTTGTTCTTTCTTTTCATTCTTCCTCACTATCGTTTATTTTATTTTAAACTTTACATTCTGTCATTGCACACCACCATTTTTTACCCCTTTGCTATCTCTTAACTCATTTATTTTTTTTTAACCTTCTTACTCGCTGTACTTCATAATGTCCTCTTTTCAATCCCTCCCCCAAGCCGAAATATTTTCTACCCTACCACTTCACTTGCTCCGCCATTTTTTTTTATCGCCAATAACTGACCATTGTTGTCTGCTTATTTCAAATGCTATTAGTTCTATTTCTTATTTTATATTCACATTCACATCAAAACTGATTTGTCCAATTTGTCCTTTTTTTGTGACTGTCCGAAAAAGGGGATAGCGGTCACGTGGCCAGTTGTGTGAATTTCTTCCCTATAAAAACAAATACAAAAAAACACCCCCTAATAAAAAACAACGACAAATACAATACAAATAATATATTTCCCTTTTATTCTTCCAGACTAAAAAAAGAAAAAAAAAAAAAAAAAAAAAAAAAAAAACACGAAAATGTATGGCGGCTTCACGTGTTCAGATTTTTATGCATTATTGCTTGCTTGAATTTTCCTGCACGGTTTGTGTCGTTATTACATTGTCTTCATTTTCTCTATTTTATTTAATTTTCTTTCTTTCCTTCCTTCTTTTCTTCCTTCATTCGTTCACTTTTTTCTTTCGTGATTTCATTTCTCTCTTTATCATTTTACATTTTGTTTCTTTCTTTCTTTCTTTTTTATTCTATGATTTCATTTCTCTTTGTATTGCTTTCTTTCTTTTTCTTTCCTACTTTCTCTTTTTCTTTCGTCCTGTCATAACTTAATATCTCTTTTGACTTGTTCTCTCTTAATTTTAATATTTTTTGTTTTCCTTCCTTCCTTCCTTCCTTCCTTCCTTCCTTCCTTCCTTCCTTCCTTCCTCCCTTCCTTCCTTCCTTTTATTTTTCGTTCTTTCTTTGTTTATTTCTTTCTTTGTTTCTTTTTTATTTTCTTTCTCTTTTTCTATTTTCCATTTTTCCCTTTCTCTTACTATCGTTTTCTTTCTCTTTTTCGTTTTTTCTTTCTTTCTTTCATTTCTTTTTTTTTCTCTTTTTCGTTTTAATTTTTTTGTTTTTAGTTTTCTTTGTTTGTTTGTTTTTTTTCTTTCTTTCTTTCTTTCTTTCTTTCTTCTCCTGTGATTTTATTTTTCGTTCTTTCTTTGTTTCTTTCTTTCTTTGTTTCTTTGTTTCTTTCTTTCTTTCTTCTCCCGTGATTTTCTTTCTTTCTTTCTTTCTTTCTTTCTTTCGTTATTTTATTTCTCTCTTTTTCTTTCTCTCTTTTTCTTTCTTTCTTTCTTTCTTTCTTTCTTTCTTTCTTTCTTTCTTTCTTTCTTCATTGATTTCATTACTCTGTTTAGCATTTTCCTTCTTTCTTTCTTAATTCCGTTACTCTTTTGACTATTCTTTCTTTCTTTCTTTCTTTCTTTCTTTCTTTCTTTCTTTCTTTCTTTTAAATATTCTTTTTTACTTTCTTTTTTTGTTCATTTTCTCCCGTAATCACATTTGTCTTTATCTTTTTACTTTCTATCTTTTATTCTGACATTCTTTATTCTTTCTCTTTCTTTCTTTCTTTTTTTGCGATTTCATTTCTTTTTCTATCATTTAATTTCTTCATTTCTTAATTTCAATTTTCTTTCTTAATTTTAATATGCTTTTTTTTTTCTTTCTTTCTTTCTTTCTTCCTTCCTTTCTTTCTTTCTTTCTTTCTTTCTTCCTTTCTTTCTTCCTTTCTTTCTTTCTTTCTTTCTTTCTTTCTGTAATTCCATTTCTCTCTCTATCGTTTTCCTCTCTTTTATTCCTCCTTTCTTCTATGAATTCTTTTCATTCTTGATCATTTTCTTAGTTTCCTTTCATTATTAATGACGGAAGCACAGTTTCAAATTGGTATTTTAAAACAAAAACAAAATACAGACATCTCCTAAAAGAATCAATTTAACACTGCTTTTAAATGATGAACAGGATCTCCCCGCCTTTTGGAATATTAAAAAATGTCAATATTTTTTTTTATTATTCTGGCAAAGACCTTCTCCTGATGAATGCCTATTGAATGAAAATCTACAAAAAATTTGCTGAAAATAATTATTTTATTTTATTAAGCATATCACCCCAAGCAAAGTGGGGATGCCACTAGTACGCAATGGTCTACAGAGAATGGGAGTAAGAGTAAAGGGGGCGGGTTGATGAAAGGATAAAGAGAAGGACGGAAATCAAAATCAAGACATCAGAAGATGTCGATTGAATTTATATATGAATATTTGAAGATTATAGCTATCAGGGAAGCAAGGAAGGGGAAGGGAATTGCACTGTCGGGAAGTGCGAGAGAAAAAGCCCTCGGAATAGAAGAGGCAGATACATTTAATCTATCTATCTATCTATCTATCTATCTATCTATCTAGCCCAGTCTCTTCAACCCTATCTTTTTTCAAGTTTTCTATTTCGCATTGTGAATCTATTTTTAATTTAGTCTGTTCATATTTTTCTCTCTTCTCTCAACAAAAACAGCGTTAGTGTTACTTTAGAATTGATTGAAAGATTGATGGTTTACTTTAATGTTTGGTCTATTGATTGTTTACTTTAATGATTGAACTATTGATTGTTTACTTTAACTATTGGACTATTGATTGTTTACTGTAAAGATTGAACTATTGATTGTTTAATTTAACGATTGGGCTATTGACTGTATAATTTAAAGATTGGGCTATTGATTGCTTACTTTAACAATTGGACTACTGATTGTTTACTTTAACGATTTAACTATTGATCGTTTACTGTAATGATTGGGCTATTGATTGTTTACTGTAACTATTGGACTGATGACTATTTACTTTAACGATTAATCTATTAATTGTTTACTTTAACGATTCGACTATTGATTGGCTACATAAAAATAAAAAGGTGATTGTTCACTTTAACGATTGAACTATTGATTGTTCACTTTAACAATTGAAACATTGATTGTTTACTATAACGATTGGACTATTGATTTTTTACTTTAACGATTTAACTATTGATCGTTTACTGTAATGATTGCAATATTGATTGTTTACTGTAACGATTGAACTATTAATTGTTTACTTTAACGATTGAACCGGTGATTGTTGACTTTAACGTACCTCTATCAAATTTGCTTCATAATTTCAACTTGGACTTCATTTCTACACATCTATTGTTAAGGTTTTTTTTACGTATTTCTCATTGTCTCAGCGATAATTTCGAAAGAACCGGCATTAAACTAAAGTTGCCTGGTCGGATTTTAATCGTCGGCCATGACACTTTCAATGCATTTTCGTCTATGTAAATTGCGTTGATGTTTATTAAAACACGGCATTCTCTAGGTTCATGGCTGCATTCCCAAAGGTTGCGGTGGTCCACGAATGTGTTGATTGAATTTCAGTTCCTTTTACTTTCGTATAAACCTTTTTTTCTGTAATTCTTGTCTTCCTTCCGTATTTTGGGGATTATGCTTTTGCATTCTCTTTCTAGGACCTCATTAAATTATTTACTTTATAATCGTTATCACCCCATGCAAGGCAGTAAAGCCACTAAGATGCAAGGAGTTACAGGGTGTGGGAGAATTAGGAACGGAAACATTAGTAATAAGCGGGAAGATAAAAGAGTAATCAAAAGGACAGCAGATAGCGATTGACATTGCATTTAAATTTTTTGCACTTTAAATTTGGCTGGAAAGCATGGAGCTGTAAGGGAGATCCACAAGTAAGTCAATAAAGTCACTAAGACACAAGGGGTTACTGGATGTGGAAGAATTAGGAACACAAACTTTAATGAGTGGGAAGAGAAAAGAATAATCAAGAGGACAGCAGTTAGCGATTGACATTGCATTTACATTTTTGCACATTAATGTTGGCTGGAAAGTAATTGATATATTAAATCAAGGAATACCCCCTCCCTCTTTAGATGAGAGTAATGATTAAATGTGATAACATTTTTTCGAATAACTCAGCCAATATGTGGTCTTGCATAGTCATGTATGATCAAAATGACTTTACCATTAACCAATGATGGTTGCTTGTACGTCTCTAAGTTTTTTGCGCAAAGGTTCTAATTAATTACAAGAATGTAAAATATAAGAAGGATTAAAAAGCCTTATCCATCCTGAAGATATTGAGGATGGATAAAGCGATCAAAATCTCTCTCTCTCTCTCTGTCTCTGTCTGTCTGTCTGTCTCTCTCTCTCTCTCTCTATATATATATATATATATCTTAGTCTTTTCATCCATCTATCTATCTATCTATCGCAGTCCTTCGATCTATCTATCTATCTATCTATCTCAGTCCTTTCATCAATCTATCGCAGTCGTTCTATCTATCTATCTATCTATCTATCTATCTATCTATCTATCTCAGTATTCTATTCATCTATCTCATCATTTTTGTATATCTTATAGATGTAAACACTTTAAAAATCTGTACTTCTTACTTCACTCAAAAATCCTATACCTTCAGTGGCTCTTGGGCCTTGTATTGAGAGAATTATTCATAAAATAAGATGTATTTATGCACTCTCTTCCAAATAGTAATGACGAACTGAAATATGTCTAAAATCTTGAAAATAAATTTCTTTCTATCCTTGCCATGATGCCACGCCCCTTTTCGGGGCGCAAATATAAATAGTTCTAAATTAAAATAAATGAGTAAAAAAATAAAATAAAACAAGTTGTCCCACCACGTCTACCAATGAAATGGCCATTGATAGCCAATATTGGGAGACATGACGTCGATCATTTATCTGGCAATGTGACCACTAAGTCACATGTCACTGTTTGGATATGAACGAAATATCGTAAAAGTCATAACGACGCACTTAGAGTTTGACTCAGCTCATATAAAAAAAAAAAAAAGAAAGAAAAGAAAATGCATGTAAATCCACCATAACCTTTTTTCCTGCAGATATTTAATAACCTTATTTTTCTCTGACATCTGGCAACGTCTTTGAAATCCCAACGTTTGTTAATTTGTCTCTTGACACAAATTTGATGACCTTTTTTTTCGTTGGCATTTAGTTTGTCGTAATATCAGTTTAATTAACGAAGATATTGCCGCCACATATGGACCGGTGCCCCTGCTATTTATCTTGTGCTCCTTGATAAGATCCAAAGAAGAATCAGCAATATTATTGGTCCTGATCTGGTAGTTCGACCTCAGTTACTTTCCAACAGCCTCTCTGTGCTTTTTTTTTCTATACATATTTTCTTGTTAATTGTTCTGATAAACTCTTCGCTATGGTACCTAGAATTGTAATTTAAACACGGCACTAGACTGGTGACGATTCCTCGTGTTGTGGTAGGATCCACATAATTTGCATAGTGGAGTACCGACCATATAAATATGGTTGGTACCGGGAAGAGTGGGAGGAATCAAGAGATTCACTCTCAGTCGAACTCTCTGCATTTTGCAGTGAGGGACCCGGACGAGGCTTTGCCGTCTAGGCGGGTTCAGAAAGGCCATATTTTTGGCCGAGACTACGGGCTCGGAGATACCCACTTTAAATCGGCCTTGGGCCACATTTTATCCTCGTGGGTGGATAGATAAATACAGGAATCAAGAGATTCAACCAGAGACTCTGCCCGACTGCGACTCAGTCAACACATTCTCCAGGAACGGTCTTACCAGGAATATACAAAAGACTATATGTAAATATTGTGTACATTTTCTTGTTTCAATACATTTTGTTCTAAGTACATTTTGTGTTGCATTATTATTCCATGCATTAGTCAAGTTTCAACACCTCGTCAGTTTACAATCGAATTTGGCTAGATGTAGCCGTAAGTTCTATGCTAACAATTTCTTTTTTTGCACGTCTCTTTTGGGGAAATTCTTCCGGGTTCATGCCTTCCAGTATCTTTAATCTCCAAGAATTTATATGCAATGTTAATCGCTATCTACTGTCCTTTTCTGGTTCCATGCATTCCAGGAAACATTAATGTGGAAAAAATTTAAATGCAATGTCAATCGTTACCTTCTGTGCTCCCGTTACTTTATTCTCTTTCCGTTCATTATTAATGTTTGTGTTCCTAATTCTTCCACACCCAGTAACCCCTTGTGTCTTATTGGCTTTATTGCCTTGATTTTGTGACTCCCTTCCGGCTCCATGCTTTCCAGCAAAATTTAATCTGCAAAAATTTAAATGCAATGTCAATCGTTATCTACTGTCCTGCTGATTACTATTTCCTCTTTCCGCTCATTATTATTGTTTCTGTTCATAATTCTTCCACTGCCATTAAACACTTGTGTCGTAGAGGCTTTACTGCCTTTCTTTAGAACTCCCTTCCGGCTCCATGCTTTCCGCCCAACTTTAATCTCCAACAATTTAAATGCAATGTCAATCGCTATCTATTGTCCTCCTGAATTCTCTTTTCTCTTTGAACTCATTATTAATGTTTCTGTTCCTAATTCTCCCACACCCTGTAACTCCTTGTGTGTTAATGGTTTTACGGTTATTTTTGAAGTAATACGAATAAAAAAAAACAGCAAAAATCTGTAAGAATTCGAGCTAATCTTAGAAGCCTATCACACAACTGTTTTTTTTACTCCTTCACTCAACATGACTGATGCTAACTTCCATCGGAGAAACTCATTCTTGAGTTTTACTAGGTATTTATTCAAGTCCGCCAGACCCGATAAATTACAACTGGCAACAGCTCCCGAAAAAGACCTCCAATCAGTGGTTAACTGGGGCAAGTAATGGCTTTTAAATTTTAACGCCGCCAAAGCAAAACTGCTTTCATTTAATGATCACCGAGAACCTTTTCGACCTACCAACAACATGGCTGATGCTAAAGCCCACGAGGGCAACATTTTGCACCACTGATACGAAGTGAAGTGATTCTGTTGTATCAACTGCTAGGTTTGACATGCTGGTCTTCTCCACAAACCCAAGACTAACAATGTCTCAGGACGAATAATTGGCTTAATCAAATCATTCCTAACAAATCATGTTAATTAGACACATTTCTAATTCATTACATATACAATATATTTCAACAACATTCTCGACGTCATCGCTTTTCAACTATGCATTTATGCAGATGAAACACTTTTTACCCCTGTCTTAGTAGCAAATCCGACAGATACAACAAACTAAAACTGGTAACTGCGCTCAAAAAAGACTTCCAATCAGTTGTTAACTGGGGCAAGGAATGGCTTTTAAATTTTAACGCCAGCAAAAAACATCTTTCATATAATGAACACCAAAAACCTTTTCGGCCTATGTTGTAGAGTGGTTTCACAGTGGAGGTTTGTATTTGTACTAAGTCGGTCCTAAAATAGGTTCGACGTACAAAACGTTAGGAACTTGATATAATAGTTAATGATACAGGGAAATCTAGTTGGGGTCGCTGATACTTTAATATCCGACCAACGGTCGTCCGACATCGACTGACTGACCAAACTCCCTGAGCGACTCGCGTCTCCTACTTATTATAGGTGGGAGAGTCTATTAACAATAGAATAGGTGTGTTCCACTATAACAGCCTATCACCATAGCTGATGCTAAACTCAAGTAGATCAACACTCTATGCCAGTGCTTCCCAAACGGTGCAGCGTGGCTCACAGATGCAGCAGAAGAGGATAGCTGGCGAGACGGAATGACTGAAAGACAATCAAATATTTAGAAACGTTTTCAAAAAAATTTATATGCCAAAAATCTTTATGATTTCAAAATTTTAAATATTATTATGGATTACTTGTAATTGATTGCATGAGTCCCAGTTTAAATAGGCATAAATTATTATTGATTGATTTGATCATAGTGATATATCTGCCTTAGATTCGAGTATTAAGAATACAGTAACTGTAAAAGAGAGTTATTAATGATAAAGTTCGGGACTGCTTTTGTTATTTTTAAATTTACCTTTTATCACATAAAATTTGGAGAGGCGCAAGTAAATTTTACATTCCTATAATGCGACCCAAAGGAAAAAAAAACAGAAACCACTGCTCTAAGCCTCCTGAGCACGCACGTTTTCCCCTATTATGACGAATATAGGTTCACTGTGTCGTGTAAGGCAGTTTTTCTCGACATAATATATCTTGCATATTGATAAAACTTCCATTCGCCGTAGACTGAATATTGCGGTCAAATCTGGTCTAGTGCACAAGTTAGTTCTTTAAATAATAGTTCCAGTATCCTTATCTCATTTTATGATAACCAGTGCTATGTCGACATGCAAAACTCATTTTTCATCACCTGTGACAATCTTTTTTTTTCTTCTTTTACTTCCTCTTTGTGAATTTTTCTTCTGTCGCTTTTACTTCTGTTTTTATCTTTTTTTTCTTTATATTCTTTTTTATCGCCTTCTTTCTATTTTACTTCTGCTTTTTCTTCATCTTTTTTTTCTTTTCCTTCTTCTTTTACATTTTCTGATTTTTCTTCTTCGATCCCCATTTTCCTCATCTTCCGTTTTCTTCTTCTTCTTCTTTTTTCTTCTTCTTCTTCTTCGTCTTCTTCTTCTTCTTCTTCTTCTTCTTGTTTTACTTTACTATATTTTCATCTTCTGCATTCCTTCTTCTTTTTCTGTATATATTTAACTTATATTTTTTTATCTTTGTCTTCTTTATTTTCTTATATTTCTTCTTGTTTTATTTCTTTTTTATTTGCTTTTTCTTCTTCTTTATCGCTTTCTTCTTTTTCTTCTACTTATTCTGATTATCATCCTTCTTTATTATCTTCTTTTTCTTTCTTACTTTTCTGCTTTTCTTGTTCTTCTTTAATCCCAATTTTTCCTCCTCTTTCTTTTCTTCTTCTTCATCTACTACTACTCTTTATTAGTAAATAACATTAGAAAATCGATCCCCATTTTCAAATGTTATATTAACAAATTGACCTCCAGAGGTGAATTACGAAATCTGAATCAAGCCCTAATTTTACGATAGCCAACTCAGGCAATAAAATATTTTTTATGAGTTGATTACCTTTCAAATACTTCATTTATGTGTTATATTATCTATAAACCATACCCATAAAAAGTGTGTTTTTAGTTTCCAGTATGATTTTCCTTATTACTGCTTTAGATGACAGGTAACAGTTATTTGTGTTAAAAACGACTGAAAAAAACAACTTATGATTGTAACCATGACAGCTAGACCACAAAAACGAGATAAATTGTAGTTGGTGTCATAATAAAAACTGCCAACCAGGAGTTATTACGTGTTTGTCATGTTTAACCATATTGTCAAGAGTGACTTTATATTTGCTAAGACCTTATTTTTATTATAATGATTTCATGTATGTAAATGTGTAGTAATTATTATTATTATTATTATTATTATTATTATTATTATCATCATCATCATTAATATTATTATTATTATTATCATCATCATCATCATCATTATTCTTCTTCTTCTTCTTCTCATCGAACCCCTTAAGAACCTTAATATCTTTTGTACATCAACTGGATCCATTATCTATTCGTATACAGCTTATTTACATATGCTTACGGCCACATCATGTTGAAACACCTGTTCCCGTAGGATCACCGAAGTTAAGCAACGCCGAGCTGGTGAGTATCTCGATGGGTGACCGACTGGGAAACATTGCGATACTAATTTCTTATCTCCACACACAAACACACACACACAGGCCCGCGTGTACGCACACGCACACGCACACACTCTCTGTCTCTCGCACACACACACACACACACAAACACACATATATATGTGTGTGTATATATGTATATTAATAAAAGTGAACACTGTAGTCAACACCCAAGAGAGACAGCCTGTCTCTTGCTTAACCGCAATCTTTAGGCCATCTCTCATTTATGCCTTATAGTAGCCTCACTGGGGCGGGATGTCAGAGTTGCTGTCTTCAGGACCCTCAGCCAAAAGAACGGTTCGATAAAGGGTCCCTTTTGAAATTCCCTGTCGTAGCTCGAATCGAAATAGATCTGATGAAGGCAGGAGTGCACAATGGCCGAAACGTCGTGATAACTTTCTCTTTGCTCTTATCATCAGTCATTAGTATTCTACAAATTCGTCGATCAGAACCATCCGTCATTCGCTTTGAATTTCACCTTGTTCTGTGAGAAGATTGTCCAGCATTCTCTGTCATGTAAGAAGATTGATATGGCATAGCAGTTCAGGAATTCTTTTTTTGTTTTTTTATTAGGTTGGTGCAAAAATAATGACGTAATAATGTCGTTTTTTGACGTATTTTTTAACGTCAAAAAACGACATTATTACGTCATTATTTTTGCACCAAGCTAATATTTATTTTTTTTTCTAACGATATTTTCTTGCGTTTAAATTACTTAGCTTACTTTCTGGAAGACATCTTTCCTTGTTATTATTCGCCCACGGCTCGTTGTCTCTCATTTTCCGCCATCTGTTAGTAAACGACATAGTTAATTTTCAGCTAGCCATTCACTCAAAATCATTAAGTAGGTGGCTTGCTCATGTCTCTTATTTTTTTACGAGTTGTTCTTTGCGTGGCCTAAGATCATATCACATTGTTGCATGATCACTGAAGACTAGTCAGTACATCGACGGGTGACCGATTGGAAATATCAGATACTGTATGTTCATGTGGTGTAAATGATAATAGCTCAGAAATTGTTAATAGGAGAGCCGTGTTCCAATTCTGGTTGGGTTCATAATATTCACTTATGCGTAAATTGAAATGGTATAAATCCACCAGAACGTGCGTTTTGTAGTAAAGGATATCGGCTCGGAATTGTTAATCGGAGAACCGAGTTCGAATTCCAGTCGAGTTTGTTATATTCACTAACGCACAAATACCCTTGGAAAATATATAAATCCATCTTTTCTCCACCCCTACCCGGGGTTGAATAGCAGGATAGACCGAGTTTTTTTTTTTTTTTGTCTTGGTTGGCAATCAGTCTACGCAGAAAGAAATGGCAACCTCGTATCATGTATCTTTCTGCGGGAAAAAAAATCTCTCATGTAAAATTCATCGTTTGCCCCACTCTTCTTAACTATGAACACGTCCAGCGTTCAATCGGCTGTCATTAAATCGATTATACACGTCAGAAAGACTCCATGGTTAAGAAATGTTTGTGCACAAAATTTTAGCCTCTTTTTTCTCGTGACAGACATATTAATTGTGAAATTCTTGAAAATATCGAATAATTTTCGAATTTTAATGAAGTTTTCAGGACAAATGAATTAAATTACCATTTTACATTTTTTTTTATTAGAAAATCTGGGTAAAAAATATTTTTTTAACATGTGTTTCACCCGCTTAATTTTATGAAAAATTTAACGGGATAATTTTTCGTGACTATATTAGTTAAAAGAATAATGCTTTGAAGAATTTAAATCACCATTTTTTTTTCAAAATCGGACCCCTTCTTACCGACAATCTGATCTGAATCGAAAAAGAAAACGCAAGACATTATTTAATATATATTAAAGAAAATATTGTCTGAATAAAAAAATCATTTTTACAAGATTTCTTTTCATTTTTTACAATTTTAAATTGAATAGTTTACAAAGATTTTAATCTTTTAAAATTGAGTCCCAATGTGATATCTCTTAGGAAATATTATTGTCAAGTAAAACTATATGTTCTAATCATATATTGTAAAGCTTATTACATCTGACAATCTTGTATATTTTTAAAAGACTTTCCATTTGTTTTGTATGTATGATTATACATACAGATCTTCTACGTATCGATATTCAAACCTATAACATTATCATTAAAGGTCACGTGCTTTAAGGGTTGTTCCCCCTTACGGGAAAAATCTCTTATATAAACTTCATCGGTTGCTCCATTATTCTGAACTATGAACACGTCCAACGTTCATTCGGCTGTCAGTAAATCGATTAACACGTCAGAAAGACTAAATGGTTAAGAAATGTTTGTATACAACATTTTATACTATAAGTAAGCAATATTTGTTTAAAATCTGATTAATTAACTATAAATGTGATAATTTTCCTAAAATAACTTTTAAGAAATATATATTTTATTTTTGCAAGATTTTAATAACGAGATATAGTTTTTATCCCAAAATGGCCGTTTTTATCAATTTTACCGAAAAAAAAAAAATCCAATAAATATAAGTTTTGCTTAAAATACAGCACAGATTATTTTGCTTGCTGGAAATAGAAAATTTCTAATCCTTAAGCTTTCAATCAAGGCTAAACTGAAAGCTTCAAGAAAACTTTTATCATTTTAAAAAATTAATTTGAAAACTTACGTATAGCAAATTCGTGGAAGTACCTATATATATATATATATATATATATATATATATATATATATATATATATTATAGGTTGTCCCCAAAAGTTCGTAAACACTTGCAAAAAATTGAAATTTTACTCGCCAAGTAATAAAAAAACAACAAAATTATTCCTCAAAATAAAGACCATCATTTTCCAAGACTTTCTGCCATCGATCTGCAAGCTTTCGGATCTGGTGAAAGTACCATTCAGCCGGCTTCAAATCAAAGAATTCTTGACACGCTTCCTCGACTTCATCAAACGAGTCGAATCGGCGGCCCTTCATAAAGTGTTGCATTGAGCGGAAAAGGCCGTAATCTGATGGAGCACAGTCAGGACTGTAGGCTGGATGTGGCAGAACCTCAACGCCGTCCAGCTCTTCAAACTTGTCTTTGGTCTTCCTGGCGGTGTGTGGCTTGGCATTGTCCTGCTGCATCAAAGCGCGCTTTCGGTTGATCAGAGCCGGGTACTTTTGCTTCAACTTTTCATAGACCCGCTCCAGTTGCTGACAGTAAAGTTCGGCACTGATGGCACGACTATTCGGAACCAATTCAAAATGCACGATTCCTTCAAAGTTCCACCAAACGCACAACATGACTTTCTTGCCGAATCGATCTTGTTTTGGAACCGACAGTGTCTCTTGCCCTTTCTGAACCCATCGCTTGTCTCGATTGTGCTGGACCAGATAGACCCATTTCTCGTCCGATGTCACAATGCGCTTCCAAAAACGCTCGTCCAATGGATTGCTGAGCAATTGACGGCAAATTTCAACTCGTCTGTTGGCTTGTGCTTCGGTGAGTTAGTGCGGATCTTGGCGCGGATTTTTGTGAACAAAATCAAGTTGCTTCAAGTGTCGGTGAATTGTCGATTTGCCAACTCCAAGCTCATCAACCAATTCTCGAGTGCTCGATGAAAGCGCAATGTCCAACCCGGTTTGAAAGTCTCCATCATCCAACTTTAACGGCCGTCCCGAACGAGGCTTATCTTGAAGACTCATGTCGCCAGAATCGAAACGCTTATACCACTTCAAGATCGCCGCATATGCAATTGTTCCTTCACCTTCGTCAGCACAAATCTTTTCTGCTGCTTTTCTGGTTGAAAGACCTCGCTTCCAGCAGAAACGAATCAAAACTCGCAGCTCAATTTTATCAATTGCCATCTGGAATAAGATGAATATCACTATAACAATATAAACGCAAAAAACAATTAAATATAAATTTTAATGAAATAAATTTTTTTCAAAATTAACAATAAAGTAAAAAAACAACAAAAAATTGCATAAAAATTCAATTTTTCGAAAGTGTTTACGAACTTTTGGGAACCAATTATATATATATATATATATATATATATATATATATATATATATATATATATATATATATATATATATATATATAGGGGCCTGACGATTGTATATAGCATGAAACAGACTGTCGCCTCTAAGTGTTGACTTCTATGTTCACTTTTATATATACACACGCTCTGTCTCTGATATTGAGCACTTTATCCCATAAATATACCACATCTTAAGACTATATTTCTTCATATATATATATATATATATATATATATATATATATATATATATATATTTACACCTCAGAAAAAATACATGATCGCCCAATCGTGTATGACGTACGGCACTTAATTGAATGAATCAAACTCTTCTTGATAAGCCGTACAAAACGAACCAATTCAAGGTTCAATATGGTGGTGTTACTACATCTTCCGATGCACCAAGCAATGAGCTTAAAACGCCAGGACAGTCTCTGTGCTGCTACCCGGTGCTAAGGTGTAGATCAATGAGTATCCGCCAGCCAAAGCCCTTCCACGTCATCGCTTAGAACCGTGTGCGCTGACTCAACCTCGTCTTAAAATAATTGTCGGATTTTGTCCATTTAATAATATATATATATATATATATATATATATATATATATATATATATATATATATATATATATATATATATACAACTCAGAGAAAGAACAAATTGAGTAAACTTCTTCTGTTCGTAACATTTACTTTTTTAAAAAGTGCTCAATACAAAATGAAGCAATATATTATTATTATTATTATTATATTTTTATTATCTGACATTATAATAAAAACATGTTGAAATCGCTGCACAAAAGATTTCATTTTTCAATACTTTGATTTTACTCCTTCAGGTGATGGTATATAACTGGTGATTATGTGTTTCTGTGTCTTTGTATATATATATATATATATATATATATATATATATATATATATATATATATATATATATATATATACTTGTTGACAACAGTAATATAATAGCATCATCTACATGTAAAAAAGAGGATAAAAATAATGG